ATCAGTTTACGCGGAGAAAACACTTTTATAAGCTGGATTTTAACAAATTTTCCAAAAACAAATTAATTTTGAGAACTTTGTCGATTTTTTTCATAAATTCGTCCATGAATCCGTGTTTCATTTTGATTAATCCATTTTGTTTATCAATTTATTCAAATTGTTTCATATTTTCAATTTTTGACAATTAGGGATTTGTTCTTCATAAATTTTAAGAACAATGGATGAATAATCCTTGATTGGTTAACAAAGAATAAGCCGCATTGATCTTTGGATGCTTTGTGGTGGCAACATTATATGCATTTAGCCTCAAATAATGGTGTCTTTTTGATAGAGAAATCAAAGAAGACAACTGATTGATATTATTTCGAATCTAGTATTGATCCATAAATTTGTATTTTCAAAAAGGAAAAATTGTCCAAAATAATCCGACATTTGCCTCTTCCGCCTAAAGTAATCCGACCTTCATACCCAATCGGCTCAAAATGATCCCAAATGGTCATGTAACTTGACACATGGAGACATGTGATTGGTAAAAATAATAAAAATAAAGTAAAATAAATTTTTTAAAATAATTTAAATTTTTTTAAAAGATAAATAAAAATAAATATTTAATTTTTAAAAAACCACCCCATACGTTGCCCATTCCATCGTCCCCGATGCCTGATACCCCTGCCCCGCGGATCTGGCCACCTAGACCCCTAATCCCAACACTGGTGCTGCGTTTAACCCCTATCCTCCAAAAAAACCCAGACATTGTTTTGGAAACACCGACAAGCCATAAAACGATCTCCCAACTATCGAAAACCTCTTTTTAGTTCCGATCTCAACCCCTCCCCTTCCCCTGTCCCTTTTCTGGCCACCTTCCCTTCCCCATGCCCCGATTTCAGTCCATTCCCTTCTCATGCCTCGATTCCGGCCCTTATCCCTTTTAATTTCCCACACCTTGATTTCGGTAATGGTTGTGTGGTTTAGTGGTGACAGAAGGGGATAAGTGAGGGTAGGAGGGTCGACGAAGGGCGCTACTTTGGTCGCAGTGGGGCTGGTGTCTCTGGGCTTTGTCAGGGCTGATGGTAGGGGCGGGGGAGGTGGTTGTGGTCGTGGTGGGACTAGGGTCTGGCTTTACGTTTTTTTTTTTGTAAGAAGAGTTAAATAATGTTAATTACTAATAATCATTTTTCAACCAAAATTAAAATTAAAACTTATTTTTTTGACCAATCCGTAGTGACAAATATAAATTAACCTTAATAAAAAAGAAATTACCTACTCTACCGATTACAGGTCGCATGGTTCCATTATGAGCAGATTGGGTATTAAGTCGGATTATGAAAGATAATCAAAGTGTGGGATTATTTTGAACGCATGAGGAAAAAGTTGGATTAGTCCGAACAATTTTTCCAAACTTTAGAATTTAATAAAAAAAATAGGGAAATTCTCTTTGGTGAACTCCAACTTTTTAATTTTTTAAGTAGTAAACGTTTTAAAATTTTATTATTAATGGTAAACCTAAATTATTGATTACCATTAATTAATAAGTGTTATTTTTATAAAAATACTTAATTATAATTTTTTTTCTTTTTTTTGTAATAATTAAATTAATATAAAAATGTTTTAAAATAAAAGAAAATAAAAACCAAACCCCTCCCCTACCCAACCTAGCCACGGGCGGCCATGCCTTTGCCGGAAACGCCCAACCTCCCCCATCGCCTGCCACTTCTGACCTCCCCCATCCTCAGCCGGGAACGCCCTGCCTCCCCCGCCCCACCTTCTCTCTTTCCCCCATCCCGACCTATCCTAAACCCAGATCCCGGCGGCCGACACCCCAACCACTGGCCCCCTATCGAGATTCCAGCTACCATCTTCCTTCCCCTCTCCGATTCCAACCACCAACTCCCTTCCCCTTCCCGATTTTGGCCACCCCTCCCTTCTCCTCCCCATTACTAGACACCCCGTCCCTTTTCCTCCCCGATTTTAATAGCCACCAACCTCAACAATAGCCCGTAACACCATCAAAATAGCAACGTTTCTGCTGCTGCTCCCCCAATTCGCAAACACACCACTCACAAATAATGCCAAAAATTCCTCATTCATTCTATCGATCTTACCCATTAATCCTGTCGTAAATTTCACCGCACCCACCTTGCTTCGTCGTCGATAAGGTCACCTTGCTGGTTTTAATGGGTTTTTTTGTGGGAGATGGGGGGGGGGAGATTTCGAGGAAGGGGGTTTGTGACTTTGTGGTTCAAGGGGCACTAAACAGCGGGAGGGTCAAGGGTGGTCGATACGGCGCTGGACAGGGGAGGAGGGTCTTGGTGCGGCCAGTCGGGTCTGGAGCAAGGAGATTAGGTTTGGGGGTATGAGGTGGTTGTGGAGATGGCAACGGACCAGATCCAATAGGATACATATCCATATCCGTTTTAAGGACAAAGATCTAGTTCCAAATTCGCAGATCCAAAATTTTGGATCCAAATCCGGATCTAGATCAGTATGTATTTTGTTTGTTTTAAAAAATTATTATCTTTAAAAGTTTGGTTCGTACAAAGAGCTAATATTAATATATATACATATATATATATATATACACATATATATATATATACATATATATATATATACACATATATATATATATATACACACATATATATATATATACACATATATATATACATATATATATACATATATATATATATATATATATATATATAAGTTTAATTAATATATATCTACATAATTCAACCCTTATTTTTTTTAATTTTGACGAGAATTAAATCATTGGTTTTAAATGGTTAAAGTTTAGCTCATAAAATAATAACAAATAAAGTATGTAATAATAGAGTGAATTATAGATTTATATTTATACTTCCTCCGTTCTTTATTACTTGACCCGCTTTGACTTTTACACTATTCACCACCCCTACTTTGACCGTCTTTTGTGAATAATACGTAAGGAAAAATATATTCATGTATGATTTTTTGGATTCGTCTCAATAAGTACTATCATAATATATAACTTTTATAATTTTTACTTATGGAGAATTTAAGTTATTGATCGTCAAAATTTTGCATTGGAAAGCGTGATAAAAGAAACAGGTCAAGTAAAAAAGAACAGAGGAAGTATAAGACTAGTCAACTTAATTAGTATATAAATCTTAAATAATAATATAATTAATATATAAAAAATTATAAAACGAATCCACGGGTCAGATTCGAACCAGATTTAGATCTCAGAAATAGGTTTCAGGTCCAGATCCCGATCCACCGGGTCCAAATATTGGCGATCCATATCCTGTAAAACGGATCTACCGGATCCGGAATCGGATCCAAGATCCATTACCATCACTAGGTGGCTAGTTAGGTAAGGGAAGAGTGGGTTGTGGGATTTTTTTTAGAAAAATTATTAAAATAAATATTTCTTATATAAATGTAAAATAGAAAAAAACTAACTAACTATTGTTAAATATCTACTCCATCCGTTTCAAGTTACTCGCAACAATTACTAAAAATGGTCATTTCACATTACTCGCAAACAAACTTTTTTTTCCTTTTATAGCAAGTTTTTATGTGTGATTTTACAAAATTACCCTTACTTTTTTTTAAATCCCCTAATTAAACTACTTATTTTATGTTATTAACTTTAAACCTAACATTGATTAACTTAATTATTTCCACCAAAATCTTTCCCCCTTCCATCTATATCCATTCTCACCACCACCAATCTCCATTCAATGTTCATCACCTCTCTTTGTTCATCTCCCCTCGATTCGACCACAACATTCTATGGAGACACCACCGTCACAGAAAGTCACTCCCATCGTCTCTTTTGTTGTGGCTGCCTCCGTTTTCTCTCTCTTCCTCTTCTTGTTGTCTTGTCATTGTCAGTGAAGCACATATTTGAAGGTTTTATGGTCAAATTTAACCATAAAAACTCTAGATCTAGAGTTTTAATGGTTAAATTTGACCAATTAAAGTTGTAATTGATGATAAATAGTTGTTGGTTTCGGATTTTGGGGTTGTGGGTTTCAGGATGAGTGGGTGGTGGGTTCGGTGCTGTTGGGTGGTTAGTGGGTTTGCGCTGCTAGGTGGTGGTGTTGGGTGGTTTTGTGGTGGTGGGTGATGGTGGTTTGGTGGTAGATGGTAGTGTGGGTGGTTTTGTGGTGTTAGGTGGTTTTTATTCACTTTGTTTTTTTTTTGTTAGATTAATACTTAAGTGTATGCCCTTATTTTTCATTAATTATGTTTTCAATCTTTTGTCTAGGAGTCCGCAATCACCCCATTTATTGTGAGTAACTTGAAACGGAAGGAGTAGTTAATAGCTGACTTAATATAATAAATTTAGGTTTACCATTGATAATAAAATTTTAAAAAGTTTACCACTTAGAAAATTAAAAAGTTAGAGGTCACCAACGAGAATTACTCAAAAAAGTACTCCCTCCGTCAACCATTGATAATCACTTTTGCTAAAAAATCACGGGAATTATGGGAAATAAAGAAAGTATATTGAAAAAGTGAATTTACATTGGGTATACAAAAAAAATAGAGAGAGAAAGTAATTAAAGTACATGTGAAAGTAAAATTTACCTGGAAAAATTAAATTTGCACAAATATTTTTGCAAATGTTAGAGAATTTTGGTAAAAAAATAATATTAATGGTACTTGAAAAAAGCAAATGTGACTACTCCCTCTGTTTTTTTTAATATTTTTTCCATTTCTCTTGGAGACACATGCCAATGCTAATATTTGATCACTAATATTTTTAATTATCAATAAATATAAATTCTAATAATCGAAAATTAATAGTCTATTCATTAAGATGATTTCAACAAGTACCCATAAGACTATATTATGAATAGTGTAAAAAATAGAAATGGAGCAAGTATTTAAATCTATTCATTAAGATGATTCCAACAAGTACCCATAAGACTATATTATGAATAGTGTAAAAAATAGAAATGGAGCAAGTATTTAAAAACGGATGGGGTAACATTTTGAGTCACCAAAAATAACAAAAGTGACTATCAATAGGGAACAGACTCAAAGGGAGTATTAAAAATTGAGCCGAGCACAGCAGGCACCGTCGATCCTTCACGATTAAACTAGATTCCAAAGCCAAGACTGTTCAAAATAAAATTTGAATGAACCCAAACAAATTCCAATGGCAAAACTCTCTCCAAGACTCTCTTATTTCCTGCTCTGCCTCCTCCTCTTCCACCCACCACAACCCACCGAAGCCATAATCTCCTACGCTCAACTCCGCACCATATTATCCCTCTCACATTCTCTCTCCTCCCGCGTCGCCACCCTCCGCGACTCCCGAGGCGACGTCGAGGGTGCTCGCCGTGCTCGGCTTATAGCGACCAAGCTCGACCATGGTCTTAGCCTTAGGTTCTGGCCCACCATCTGGTCAATGGGTTGGGATTACCTCAGAAACTATGCTTGGCGTGATACGATGTCGTTTCAAGACGCTTTTGGAATTGCCGCTGATTTCAACGAGTTGCTGAGTTCACTCAGTGAGTTGGGTCGGTTGAAGTCCGATTCTCAGAGAGCTGCTTGGGTTGCTCGCCATTACGGGAATTTGCTTCGTGTTTCTAAATCTATGTTCAATCGGTTGCTCTCAATTTTCAGCAAATCTGTGAGTTTTTTTTATTTATTTTTTATTTTATATATATATATATATATATATATTTTAATTTTTTTTTGAAAATGATATCTTGTGATGAATTACATAAAAATTGATGCCGTGCATGTAACTGGATGTATGTTCTAATTTGCTATTTGATGTTGTACTTGGTGGTTTAGAAGTGGTATGTGAAATATGAATTTTGAAATGCAGGGGCCACTGAGAGAATTGGTAGAGACATTGAAGGAAGAAATGGAGGGTGAGTTTTTGAAAGATTGTCTTGAGGTTGGTAGTAATGATTTGAAGGGTATAGTTCAAATTATAAAGGAATTATCTTCTAAATATACAAATGTTGGTCACCAAGAACTCTAATTTTTATTTTAGTTGTTCTTTTTGGTGAGGGAAATTGTTGTATGTTTGGGTTTCGAAAGGGGTATATTCGGTTTATTTGTGATCTTAAGCTAAGAAAGTTTTTGTAGTAATAGAACTTAGTACTAAACTATTAAATGTGAAAGATTAGCTAACTTTTTTGCCATTTTACATGGATAAGTCTATATGATTTGTCAAGGGTATGTATATGTCCTAGTGTTGGACGGCTGTGTTGAATTTCTGGAATTTAAGTGCTCGTTTGAAATCCATGATCGAAGTATCAAATATCCGGCGTGGGTAGTTTAGACAAAAGGAACGATTTGTGAATTGTAATCTGGCATACATTATAAGTAGAAGAAGTTGATTTCATCACTCTTATATGTTTGTTTCCTTAATTTGAGCATTTCATTTTAGATTTTGATGAACTATTCTTAGGATGTTTTAGCTTCAAATATAAGTGCAAAAGAATAAAGAGAATAGACGCGAGGTTTGACAACTATTGAGTAACAACTAATCTAGTAGATTGCCTTAATTAGGTAGAGGTCATCAGGTGAGGAATTTATGTGGTCTGTTACTGGTGAACTTGAAATAGGAACAACCAATATGCGGTCTCGTAGGAGCTCGCATCAAATCATGGGCAAAAATCTTCATGTCACCTAACTATTTGCCCAAAATGCTCTGCATTGTACTATTATACTAATGTTTGCATTTGAATAATGTAATTGAAACTTGAAAGAAGCTAATGGTACAATTTACATTATAAATTGGCTTTGATATTTTTTGAGAAATTACATCAAGCATTGTGTAATAATGTGATGCAATGCAGGTGTTTGATTTAATAATTGCCATACAATTTATATGATTTGGAAGGGTTTGGTTCTTTATGGACTTCACTTCATTATATTCATGATGATCAAGAATTTAGGTTTTTGTTTTGGTGTGGTTAAAAGCAAAGTAGAAAATTATAACATGCTTTGAAATTGGAAAGGATATTTGATTTATCTAGATGTTAGCTAAGAAACTTTTGGTGGGCAACTAGACATACAACTGTGTACGAGATTACATTAAATTAGTTTGAAAACATAGGAAAGATGAAAACAAAACAAGAACCTATTATTAGGGGTATTAAAAAAAAAACCCAACCTCCCGAATACCCAATGACCCACAAAAAACCCAATGGGAAGTTTGCAATTTTTTTTTTTCTTCAGGCTAGGTACCCGTCCCACGAAAATAGTAATTTCGTGGGACGGGACATGGGCCACACTAATTTCGTGGGACGGGACATGGGCCACACTGTGCTAATCTTGGGTACCCGAAAAAAAAAAAAAAGATTCGTTACTCTCTTACCAAGCCTAGCCTACTTAGACCTAGGGTTTCATTTTTCTCAATCCCAATAAAATAGAATACCGTCCTTCCGTGAGAACTCTCTCTTGCACCTCATCTCCTATCTCAAAAAAACCTCCTCACTCAATTCTCAAGCTTTCATTCAGTCGATTCATCCTCACAATTCACTCGATCCAAGGTTAGTTTAACTTGTAGTATTTTTCATGGTATTTAATTTAGTTTCCATGAATCTAATTATTTTCTTTAATATCAATTGGTAGATCCAAATCATTTTGTAGTCCTCCTCATTTTGTTCATAATAACCCTATGGCCGGGTACTTCTCGCTCGTGACCAACATTCGGTTCAGACACCATTACATATTTCACCTTCATTGTCTCAATGTTTAACTCATACAATCTTCCTTTCTGTCTATGCCACAATACACCTCCTTATACTTAATAACGTCGTCTAAGTAGTCAAACTTAAAATCTCTCGAGTCCAACATCTTCCAACGATACCTCACATCTCGAGAAGAGGTGAGGTATCGTTGGAAGATGTTGGACTCGTGAGATTTTAAGTTTGACTACTTAGACGACGTTATTAAGTATAAGGAGGTGTATTGTGGCATAGACAGGAAAGGAAGATTGTATGAGTTAAACATTGAGACAATGAAGGTGAAATATGTAGTGGTGTCTGAACCGAATGTCGGTCACGAGCGAGAAGTACCCGACCATAGGCGTAAGCTATTGGTGGTGGAAGATGGAGTGAACGGATCAACATGAGGACCACAAAATGTGATAGGAATGGTGTCATTCGAACAAGTGTCTTATTCCAATACATGGTTCGGAATTATTAGAAAGCTAATTATTCAGTGAGGTCAAGTGATCGGAATGCCTAGGTAGAGGCCGCTTCCGATCAGTAATATTAATGAGTAATTAATATTACAACTTAATCTCGACTGAACCATTAAGGTCACACCCAAGCAACAAACGATCCGACACGAAGAATTAAAACGAAAGGAATTAATTAGTAACTCGAGTATTGTGAACAAAGACGTCGGATTCCGAGCTTAGAGCGTCGGAATCGAATCTTAATAGTCAAGCCAAAATTTAGGAATTGGCGAGACTAGAAAATGCTTCAAGTAACAAGTAAAAACCCTAGCCGCGCGAAAGGCTAGGGAAGCGCGCCACGTGGCAGCACATCGTGGCAGGCACCAAGTGGCAGCGCGCTACATGGAAGCCAACAAGTGGAAGCGCCATGTGGCAAGGGGCGCGGACCTGGGTGACGGGTCATGGACGCGGGCCAAAAGGTGGCGGTCCAACCGAACCTAACTTGGGGCTCAAGGTTGGGTGCCACGTGGTTAGATCACAATGCATGAGAATTGCCTTGGGGAGCAAGTGAGGAAGTGGTCCTCACCTAACCATGTGACACTTGTTGCTTTGTTATTCTGTGGTTTATTTAACCAAGGATTGAATTCAATATTCTTTCTATGTGGGATCTTTTTGTTGTGAAAAAGTCCCACATTGAATGGTGAATTCACAAGGAAGCACTCCTTATAAATAGCCAAGGCATACTATGGGATTGTTCACTTGAGTAAGAGTTACAAAAAGCATCTACATTGAGAAAACCTTTAAACTCATAATTACTTGAGTAATTTGGTCGAGCTTGGCTAACCTCCAAGCAATAGACCTAGTCAGGGTTGTGTTGCGGGTGGATACCGTAGGAGGTTTTTGCCCGTTGCGAGACTTAAGCTTTCTCAAGTAAGAGCCCGGTTGACAAGCGAAGCACGCTTCAAAGGTATTTTCGTCTTTCTTTAATATTTGTTAATTATTTCATATATCTTCATATTGAAAGATAATTTTTCAAGGATTTACAATTTAAAGTTGGAATCTTTATTTGAATTTTATGTTCATAAATCCAACTCCCCTTTTATTTTGGCAAATCTCATGATTAATTTAAATTAATTAAATTAATAGTGAGTATTGCCCTTATTTATTTTATTCAACCAAGTTGAACCAATTTTATTAAAAAATAGTCATTGGGAATAATTTTGGTTGGGTGCACCTTGAAGAATTATATTAAAGTTGGACTTGTTATAATTTTTCATTTTTGATCATTAAATTAATTCTAAAATTAATTTGGAATTAATTAATTAAAGTCATGCAAAAATTCGGGATTAATCTTGAGAGTGTGGCACGCAAACCAAGGCAAACTACCCTCGGCCAGCCGGGTTGTCAAGAAGCCCACATGTGGCTGCCAAGGGTTGGTGCGCTTGATGCACGTCACACAAAGCAGCGTGGCTAGTGCGCCTAGCCGCAGCAGCAGCACAGCAGCACCAGGCAGCAGCTCGCTGCGGTTGTGTTGTGTGCGTGCATGCTGCTGTCGTAGTGCGAACAGTGTGTGCGTGCTCTACTGCTGTGGTGCAAGGAGTGCGAGCAGTGTGTGTAGAGCTGTCAATTCGGGTAAACGGGTCGGGTTAGTGTGAGTCGGGTAATCTCGGGTTAATGTCATAACATATGCAGGTTGGGTCATGCTTCAGTCGGGTCATACATCTTATCGGGTTTAGGTCGGGTTAGTAAAAGGTCGGGTTACATTCGTGTCGGGTGAAAAATAGGTCGGGTTAAATTCGGGTCTTTACGGGTTTAAACGAGTTAGGGTCGTTATCGGGTTCGAGTCGGGTTCGGTTCAAGTCAATTATTTACGGGTTATAATCAGGTCGGGTCATTCTCGGGTTTAAGTCGGGTTTGGTTCAAGTCAATAATTTGCGAGTTATAATCAAGTCGGGTCATTCCAAGTCGGGTCTCATTCTCGGGTTCGATTTGAGTTCGGTTCAAGTCAATAATTTGCGGAAAACATGTTTCGTCCCTAAAAACATGTTGTGAAACTAACCTCTTAAAATTCAAAGTGAAATATTGAAGGAATAAAGTTACGATTCAATTTCCGTTCCAATACCAACATGAGATAACGACCTATACATATTGATTCGATAATAAGTTGGGTTGAATTTGGGTTGGGTCAATAACAAGTCGGGTTGATTCGGGTTTGTAGGAGGTTGGGTTAAATTCGGGTCGGGTTAGGAACAGGTCGGGTTGAATTCAGGTCGGGTTAGGAACAGGTCGGATTGAATTTGGGTTTTGACGGGTTAAAACGAGTTTGAGTCAATTTCGGTTCAGGTCGGGTTTGGTTCAGGTCAATAATTTACGGGTTACATTCGAGTCGGGTCGTCTCTAGGTCGGTTAATGTTCGGGCTTGGGTCTCAAATACTCGGGTCAACTTGGGTCTAGGGTTGGTTTCAGGTCAGGTTCGGGTCACAATTTTTTTCGGATTCAGACGGGTCGGTTAAAAGGTCGGGTTAGGGTCGGTGTTTCGGGTCGGGTCAACTTTTGACAGCTCTAAGTGTGTGTGCTTGGTGCTATTGCGGGGAGTGCGTGTGGGGTGTGCTACGTGATTGCGGCACGATGCGCACAACCCCACACTTTGCACTTTAGCCTCGGGTTTTAAGGCAATGCTATTTTGCGGATTTTGCCGTTTTAATTATTCTAATTAATTTAATTATATTTGGTTTTAATGATTTTAATTAAATTTTTGAGGCTAGCCCTCGGTTTTGAGCGACATTGGCAAAATTTTAATTTGGCAAAATTTTGGGTTTACCGGCTTAATTAATTGGATGGATGCGGAATTTATTGGGAGCTTCAATTTTAATCGCGCTAAATTACATAATCGGTTAAACAAGTTTGACTAGTTTTAATTAGGCGTGTTAATTGGATTAACGACCTAAATTAGTTACTAGTTTACGCGTGTTTGTGCATTGTTTCTTGTTTATCGTTGTAAAATGTATGGGCCATTCATAAATATAGTGAATGGATAAATGGAATGTATATTCTCTCGCAGGTTTTATAAAAATGGCAACTAGTGGGGTCCGATTAGGATAGAAAATACGGACTGAGTTCCATCTCATATTTTGTAAATCTAAATACGGTCTGCGAACCGTTGAGTATTTTTGTACCTTAATATTTAGATTAGTCCTAATCATAGTTTCTAGTATTTG